AAAACATGAGTGGAAGTTAAACAATTTGCTTACCCGACCGTATGCCTGCTCGCACGATTGCGTGTGTACGTGACTGCCTGTCTGACTCCACTCTCCCTTCTCAACGTAACGACGGCGTCCTGACGTTCACTGGCTTCCTATTACGGATGGATTTCTACACGCTGCTGGCGTCGTTGGTGACGGTGTTCTCGGAGAGACGACGTACGGCGCCAACAGTCTTTAGAAATATAGTTATCATGGCTGTTACCTGACGCCTCGCATTCAACACTCATACATAATTCAAATTTAATCGTTATACACATGCGATAAACCAGTCGTACGCGTTACCTAGTTTTGGTTTGTCTTACATCCTATGGCTCACATAGATGTAAACTATCAATATCCGCCTCAGTAAAATGAGAACCTGTATTTATGCTTCATGTATAATTAATATTTTCTATAATTAATTAAATTTTGCTTTATATTAGATTGATACGATATATAATCCAACATTTCCCTCGTTTGTAATGGTTCTAAAAATTGCAGCTCCCTATTATATTTACACGCACACACGCGCGCGCGCGCGCACACACACACACACACCAACAGCCGGGCGGCCACACGCAGCAGCGCGACGAGTACAGGCCCGAAGGGCGGACGGAGCACAGGCGACCGCGCAGGGACACGACACACACACACCACAGGGGCGGGGGCCAGGGGCGCCCCACACACACACACACGACACTATACACCACATCACAGCAGCACACACATGACGAGCCGCACGAGGCAGGCGACCACCAGGCGTGCCGCGGGACATGGTGAGGAGAGAGAGAGAGAAAGAAAAAAGAGTAGAAGAGAGAGAGACACACACACACAGCACGCAGCGACAGCCGGCACACACACACCACACACACAGCGAGAGAGAGAGACAGAGAGAGAGAAGAGAGCAGAGAAGAAGAGAGAGAGAGGGAGAGCGAGAGAGAGAGAGAGAGAGAGCGTGTCGTACATTTATGGATTGATGTTTTGTTTTTGTTAAGTTTCTTGGACATAGATTAGAAGAATATATTAGATTATAGATATTCCTTCTGAGCTCATGAGATTAGAATTCGTTAAATGTTTCGTGATTTGTCTAAATTTGTTACGCGTACTATGATTTTCTCAAGCGATAGCTGTTCAGAAAGCCTGAGTTCTGTGGCGCTTCGGTTGCACCATACGAAGGATACGCGGGATTTGGTATTTATGCTTTCCTAGCAAATGTGCGAATTTTGTTTATTTTCTACTTCATGGGTTCTTTTGTGTTTAATTGTGTTCAGAAAATTTATAGATGTATAATGTAATCGTGATTTTTGCTTGTTGCAGAATTGTTTGCACAGTCTCTATGTAAATGACCTATGTTCAAGGCCCAGCAAAAGATCACTTCTTTCTTTGGCGTAGCTGCAACGCTTGTGACATGAGGAACGACGTCGGAATGCGATGACAAGGTATGGTCACAAACACAAGGACCCTGTACCACACACTCATCGTGTATGTTACAATAATACTGCATCATTTACGTCGCGATTATGCCCATGTTACATTTGTGTATGTTCAAATTGATTTTTAGGAGACATGCATCGTATATCAGGAGTTCTTCTATAAGGTTGTCTTACAAAAAAAGCAAAACACATACAATTACAAAAAGCGAGCTCAGTTAACCGTTGAATATGAGGCTTACTGGAGGAGTTCGATTTAATATTCGAAATATAAAAGATTGTGCAACGAGGAATTATTGAAATACCGATACAGCTAGCGTTGATTTTGTTTTTTTCCTATGGGAAATATAATGTTCCACTTGCTATTAAGGAATAGTTTATGAATGTTTTCATGGGAATCGCTATTTCATGTCGTGAAAAATAATGCAGCAAATTAATTTTATTAAAATTTTTTGTGACAACATAATCTATATCGTACCTCACTATCTATTGCGTGCTACTATAAAGCTGGGTTTACTCTGCCAACTTTGTGTTGGCAAATTGGCGAATTGTACCAACCTCGCAACTGACAATCGGCAGTGTAAACGCAAAAGCTGCGCGTCCAACCGATCGATAGCAACTAGTTGGGAGATTAGAACATGTTCTAATTTTGCCAACTCGGAGTTGGCGAGTTGGACGTTTTTTTGTCAGTGTGATATGGTACGTGGTTCAGAACGAGGTGAGACGGAACTAGAGAGAGAAAAGCGGTGCAACGAACGCTTCACTGTGACATTTTATGCGAGATATCAACCTGGCATCTGTGTGTTGGATTTAATAAAGCGTGGTGTGTGTATGAGTAATGCTTTTATCGCTGTGAGTACATATAATACAGTGAGGAAGAGGTGAGGGATAGGGGAAGAGAGGGGGAGAGAAAGAGAGCGAACGAGAAAGAGAGAGAGAGAGAGAGAGAGAGAGAGAGAGAGAGAGAGAAGAGAGAGAGAGAGAGAGAGAGAGAGAGAGAGAGAGAGAGAGAGAGAGAGAGAGAGAGAGAGAGAGAGAGAGAGAGAGAGAGAGAGAGACTGAGAGAGAGAGAGAGAGAGAGAGAGAGAGAGAGAGAGAGAGAGAGAGAGAGAGAGAGAGGAGAGCAAGGCAAAATTTTCGTAACCCGACCGCTCGGCTAAATGCACTAATATTTTACGACAAATGACGAGTCTAACAAACATCGAGAGGGGAAAATACGAGGAAGGAATTGAGCAACCGTAAAGCCAACCCTAATCATTGCTGCTCACCCGTCTCTTACTCCCACTCAATGATCCTCATCCGCATCCCCAACATCCTTCTCTTCTCCCTGTACGTACACGCATGCGTGTACGTACGCGCATGCGTGTGCGTGTACGTGCGCGCATGAATGTATACGCACGCACGCGTGTATGCGCGTATACATGCACGCGTGCGGTCATATCCATCTGTGCACGGCAGATACACTCGCGTACACCTGTTGTACACGGGGGAAGGTACACGCGTGCGCGCTCGTGCACATGAGGAGGAGGTCGGCATCACGAGCATGGAGAAATCCAATGGGCAACCCCTCCGGTAATCCACTGCCCTCGTGGGTCCTGACTCTGTGACTGTGCACGAGTCTTTGCGCCTGTATACGTGCGGTACCTCGCGAATTTATACATGCAATAATGCCTATATCCATCGCCCCACGCGTGCGCTCGCGGTCGACGCTGACCGCTCGATCGAGTTGGCCAACTCGCAGTCATCAGTGTAAACGCGCTGCACAGTTCATAGAACGGTTGATAGAGCGTTGGGAAGTTGGTCCAATTCGCTAATTCGCCAACACAGTTGGCAGTGTAAACCCAGCTTAAACAAAACTTAGCTTAATGTTAAAATCCCAGGCTCTTTACACAAAGAATTAATAGTGCAGCAGATATGTGTATAATATCAGAAGGATTGTGCATTTTGTTTTAAAAGCACAAAATTTGGTACATCTCTATTATGCACTCTTGATAATATTGATGGATTGATGTATATATATGTGTATAGTAATATATATAATATCAATTATGTTTCTGTGGAATATTTTTGTTCATGAATTATTATAATGTCTTGTAGGGTACAAAACTCCTACTTCGTCCCCTCCCGTACTCACCATTGGCTTCCGTCTCCCCCGCTCAGCTTCCTCCTTCGTCTACCGCCTTCAGCGATCTTTCCTGCTGCCTTTCCTCATGCGCCCACACCTCCCTCTCTCAGCAAGCTATATTATGCAGGCTCTTCATTCCGTACAACACACACGTCTTAAACGGTGCTCGCGCATGCGCAATATCTCCCCAGAAGAACAATATTTTGCAAAGATTGTGCGTTTAAAATGAAGAGGAGCTATCCTAGCATAGATTTGTATGATAACGTTTTATCAGTAGATCTCACTTAGAAATAGGAAGAATACATTGCCTGTAAGGTCCCCGCTGCCTATAGGCTACCTGTCAGTACACAATCTGGCTACGTTAGTGTGCTAGCACATGCGCGATATTTCACCAGAAGAGATATATTTTGTGGCAAATCTGTATTTAATATGGTTAGGGTGTAGCTAGCGGCGTAGCTAGGGTTAAATGGATGTGTACGCACACATGCAGGGGGGGGGGTCTGGGGGTCCTCCCCCGGAAAATTTTGAAAATGTAGATTGCAGGAGATGGTATTTAGAGCATTATCTTTTGAGTAGAACTATTCTCTTCATGAGCAACAAGATGTGATCATGCATGTTGCTGACCGCAACAGGTATGACTAGCATAGTAGAACACGAATCCCCATATTTGTGAATATAGTGTTGTGCATACTAATAATGGTTTAGCTATAGTTTAGTATATAATCTCCCCCCCCCCCAACACACAGATACTTTCTTGACGGTTATGTTCTTCCAGCGTTGTTTTCACTAGATTTTCTCTCTTTCTTGGGAGCAGAAAGGAGGAGAACATGAATCAAGCGCCAAACTGCGGGGACATATAAATGCACACAGGACTTCCCCCAGCTGATAGACTACTGGGACAAAAAGAAGTTGGTGAGAGCTGTAAGAATGAGAAGATAGATATACTGTATGCACACGTATAATTTACGAGTCATTTTATAGGTCTATATAGGTCCGGACAACATATGCGTTGACAATCATTATAATAAATATAAGTAAACTATAATAATATTTAATTAAAATTATAAATTTTTTATGCGTTTAATAAATTCATCATGTTAAATCAATAAGAGAATGAACGGTACTTATACATTATATCTCACTTCCTCAAATCCGAATTAGATGTTATGAACAGCATTTCCGCGAAATTGCTTCGACTAAAATGTTTCCTTGACAAAGATATACAATACAAAGTGAACTGTTACTCTCAAATCCCGACACGAATCCTCTCACCTCTCTCTCACTCCTTCTCTCCGTTCCATCTCATCATCTCCTCTCTCTGTCTCTCCACTTTTCACACCTGCTGTCTAATTCTTTCTTCTTCCTCGTCTTTCTTTCTCTCTCTCTCTCTCTCTCTCTCTCTCTCTCTCTCTCTTTCTCTCTCTCTCTCTCTCTCTCTCTCTCTCTACATTATATATTTCAACGACAAAATCTTTTATTTCTCGCCAAGCTAATAACTAAATGTGTGGATTGAGATTCTCATAGCGACGCGAGAAATATGTCGCTTTATACTGTTTCACATGTCACTCGTCTACGATGGTTTCTTTTTCTTCTTGTGAGATTGAGTGAGCGCACTGAGGAAGCCTTTCTTTTTCTTCTTCTTCGTTGCCGTGTGATGGGCATTTGGTTGGTGAACTGTTTCTACAGGCTTGACGACCTTCTTGCTTCCCATGCTCGGCCACCGCTGTAGGGCCGGAACACTCCGCCGAGGTTTAGGAACATCGTATACTACCGACTCCGCTCCGTCATGCTCGCTCCGCTCCAGTGCCACCGTACGAAATCGCCTCGGTGACACCGAGCGCCCTCTCGTGCCGGCTAGGTGAACCACGGGAGTTCTATCGGCGCTCATCGCTCGACCTCTGTTTCTTATGATCGCCGATAGAGGACGCTCGTTCTCGGGACTCATGCTACGAAGTAAGCCAGCCGAGGTGGCGCGTGCGTCGAGGCTCTTAGCACGTGATCTGTCCGTCGTCTGCGTACCCATATCGCGTCGGCTCGCCCGCGCTGCACCTCCGATAACGTCGGTCGTCTGTGAGTCGTAGCCGTTCTCTGTGCTGTAGCCGTTGTCGCCTGACTCGGAACTGATCTCGATCGTCTGCGCTCTCTCCTCGAACTCCGCGCGTCGCCCGTGTCCGCCATTCGCCGCACATTCGTCTGCACTCGCCTCGCCCGTCGTCGGCATTTCGTGCCCGATAACAATCGTGTTGATTTCGAGTGGTCCGGACATCTCGTCGTCGCAGTCACCCCGTGAGTGAGTGGTATTTGGCCACTCGAGCTCTCTGTACGATGGACTCGTGCCATTTGTAACTGCGTGAGGGTCGCGCGGTTCGTGGCTGGTCACGGTTGCATCTGCGATCGCGCCGCTGTGACCATTTTGGATTCGATTGTTCTGTTTTGGCACGTGGCCATTGACGACCACAGTTTCAGACTGGCTATCGTAATCATCCCAGTAACTGTCGCGCGTTTCCAGTTCGGATGTGTTGCGACGAGCATCGTCAGCGTCTAGCGGTTCAGCATCGTTTAGAACTGTAATTACATCTTGTTGGCCGTATCCGTTGGCCGGCATTCCAGCGTGGATAGGCTCTGCGTATTCATGCAGACAAACGTCGGCGTTGCGGGGCCTATAGCCATGTCCAACGCCGTAGTTGATTGCAGGTCTTGCGGTTTCTGTGCTGCTAATGCGGTCCGCCGCCTGAGTTTCATAGCTATCTTGAAACCTTGTCGGGACAGGCAGCCGGTAACCGTGCGCGGGGCACGCGTGCGGATGCTGGTCCGGGGTGTAAAGGTGCGCCGGTTGTCTGCTAGGCACGAGGTAGCCATCAGAGCGCAACCCGTCTTCAGGCACGCTCCCCTCCTGTGCGTACATCTTCTTGTGTCCGTTCTTAAGGATGCCTCCCTTCTTCGGTTTCGCCGTCACCTCCGGCGGGCAGTCCTCCCTGGTGATCATCACGGTCGTGATGAAACTTCTCTGACAACTATCGGGAGTCGTACGCTGACTCAGCTGCTCAGGTGTTTCGACCGAAGCTCGCGCGTCGTGCGCCCCCTGGAGGCTGACGCGCGGAATTCCGAACATGTAGTACGGCTGCTCGGCGAGTCCCGTCACCTGACGCCGCCGCAGCTCCCTCTCGTGGTCGATGGTGTCGCGCGTTCGTCGCGAGATCCCGCGCGGCAGGGCGAAGTCCCAGACGCCGTCCTTACTGTGTACGAGGTTGTCGGCGGCAGCGTTGTTGACGACGGTGCGCCACCGCACCCACTGCTGCATGCTGCGCAGTCGCTCATCATCAATGGCGCCACCTGGCGGCGCCATCTTTTCCGCCTCCGACTTCATGGCGCTTTCTGTAACGAAATTGAATTATTATGAGCTATGGGACAGGTTATGTAGTTATATTCACTGTTTTATTTTTTATTTTAGGCTTGCCTGAAATTCGATATATACAGTTTTGTGTTTCTTCTGTTAATTGTATGGGTTTAACTTTAGTATAGCAAGTGATAATGCTGTTGAATGTGACTGTGAACATCATCAATTTCAATTTCAATTCAATTTCAATTTCAATTTCAATTTCAATTTCAATTTCAATGGCGTGATGACATGAATGCCGTTTTGCAAGATTTGTGCAATTTTGCCTTTGTATTCTCTAAGTTATGTAATAAACTTATTTTCTATTTATCTCTCTGTCTATAATATATATATATATATATATATATATATATATACATAATATATCGTCACTAGCTAATAAGCGAATATGAGATACGTGCATGTCGAATACTACTAAGGTTGATGCCATTTTCGACACAACCGTTTACAGAACAGACTGGAATGGACTGAGTTCGGCGTTTGAACTGCCCCCCCCCTCCGCATTCCTGCTACCGAGACGAGGTACAGGGGAGTATTCAACGACGTTTCAGAATGAACGGGTGTGGTCAGCTTAAAATCTCGCTTCTTGTCAACAAGAATCGATAGCCACGGGGTGCAAATCACACAGATTTGCATCTCAGCGAATGTATTCTCGTTCCAGGACGCTGGTTGTCTATTGACACACTTTGTAAAGTGATCGCTTTTTATTGCGTCGTAAAGCGATCTCGGCCCTCGATTGTGCCTCATTACGTCGAATATATCAGTGTTTAGACTCGCGCCCGGCCGAGTGTTTGATGCGTTAAAGATAACCCTGGCTAATGACAGAAAAAGAAAGGAGTCGACTATTAGTTCTAATGGAGATCCGTGTTAGCTGCTCGCTGACAATACTCGTTCATTTCTCAATAGTCGCGCCCACACATGCGTGCTTTGTGTTTGCAACTTTCGCCGAGCGCTGATTGATGTGTGTGGCTGCATTGAGCAGAAGATGGATCACATATTAGCGGAGCATTCCTCCGCGTAGTAACATCTTCTTCTTCTTCTTCTCGTGTCATTCACTGCTGATCATATTCTGGAATTCGCCTTTGTCACGAGTGGAGTGGAGATGGTCAGCCGACGAAAGACCGCCATGCAGCTGCGAACGCCGGATTCTAGGACATCCCAACTTTTCCTCAACGTTCCCAATCGACATTTTCCTCAGGAACTACCCAAACACATCTCACCGCTGGATACTCCAGTACTCCTACGCTAGTAAATCACTATCAAACTGGCTTAAATACGTATCGTTGTTAGCAGGGCCTTATGCTCCACTGAGAGTGAAGAGGATACGTAAGTAAGTAAGTTGTTAACAGGAAACGCTGTCTGAAGCCGAGTTCTCTGTTAAACAAAGGTACTGCCGATGCGTCTTTGAAGACGCCTTTATTCTGCACAAGTACCGAGACAAAAGTACGTCCGCGATTAACTATGGATAATTTACGACAGTAGCAATCAGTTGATAGTATGCAGGGACACGTAAGCTATAAAGCTACGAACGCCACAAAGAATTGACGTGCAGAACATCAGGATGAGGGGACAGTAATGACGCGCTGCCACGCTGATAGCAGTCTATAATTTAATACATACACGGATGTAAACAGCTAGAAGGCCGGAAAATACCATGTATTTCCTACTCCAATCCGCTCCGCGCACAGATTCACGTACGGCATGCGAACATGTAACACTCAGGTTTCTACAATGCATACAAATCGATGTACGGGGATCAGGCGCAGCGACCCCAAAGGAAGCACCTTTTATTAAATACACAAACACGAACTTTTCTTAGTTGCGTCTATATAGTTATTGCGAATAGAGCAATGGACAGATAGCTAAGCCCAGATTTCGAGGTATTTTGTAGGTTAAGCATGCAACAAGCGCCAAGTGCTTTCCGTGTTTCCGTGCTAGAACGAACTGCGTGATGTGTGGTAGGTCCGCGCACAAAGCAGTCGTGGTTAGTAGGCCTAATAGTCCGTTGTGACATCAATAGATGCGAACTTTGTCTTTCAGCTCAGAGCGCTCTCGAACGTGTACTGATCGATTTAAGATCTACCGCGTTGTATGAGAATACTTAATTAATATCCCGTATTCGACGCAGCATTTGTTAAAAACCCTAACACTAACTAATCGCAAAAAAACGCACTGCAACACTTATTAATTATTATATCTTTATTATTATTAATCTTAAATGATTACTTAACTTTATCTTATTATCAAATATTATTATATATAGAACATTAGTGTTTACGCAAAAGAAACACGCTGAAGATATTGGATATTAGAGAAATCGTAACGTTTCTGCAAACTGTAGATTATTTGTAGGTAATAGCACTAAAATGACGCTATTATTGTTGCTTAATAAATTTGTCGCGTGAAGGATCGCGCCCGTTCATCTTCGCAAACAAATGTAGTTTATAGATAGAGATAGATAGATAGTACTGATAGAAGATAGATGAGAAAGCAGAGAAAACAGAAGCGAGACAGGAGAAAGGAAAGAGCAGAGACGAGAAAGAAAAGAGAGAAGAAAGAGAGAGAGAGAGACGAGAGAAGTAGAAGAGAGAGAAGCGGGGGGGGCGCGACTATATGAAAGACGTTCCCAGCCTATAATTCTTATGCCGAACAGCGCTTGTATTGAAAATCTAGCAACTGCTCTTGTTCCTTAATAACTCCACTAAGACTCATTATTTACGCAGCTAGGGCGTGATGGCATAACTCGTGACATCTAAAGGCTCCGTTAAACGGAAATCAAGCGGTCACGCGCGTTGTGTCTGTTACTCTGTTGCAGCTTCACTGCTGATCTGACTGACCGAATGAACATTAGAGTTCTTTTCGATAATAAAGCTCAGTTACTGGCCCATCATGTCTCCTGCTGCCATCATTCCATATCACAGCCATCCAATGATCATCATGAATTCATCGTGTTCATCATGACTCATCTCTTTATCAGCCATCAATGATCATCATGATTCATCAATGTTCCATCATGATCATCATCTTCGATCAGCCATGCATGTTCTCGATGTATCATGTTCAGGTTATGATCATGCATCTTCATTATGCACCATCTGTTCAGCATAGCTGCTGAAATTCATATACATACGTCGCGTGCGTTTCACTCCTATCTCAGTTCGGTGACTCCAGCAATGTCACGTTTCTTGTTCAAATAGTTTTTGCGGCAGAGAAGTATGTGACGATATTCTAGTGACGGTGGTTTGCTGTTTGACGTTAAACCAGAGTCCGCATTATAATGGACGTGTGCATGCTAGTCTTCATTTCCTAGGAACGACATCGTTTATTAAAGATGAGAACACCTACGCTGTCACGAAGGACTCTGACACTAGACAATCAAACTGTGGCATATAGACGTTTGTCGCTGTCCGGGGGGGTCGTCACCATACGTGAACATTTCACCCCGTCGTAACGGCTACAGGGGGGAAGACAGGGGCGGATTCGAAAATTTCGACACGTAAATCATATAGTACGTTGCCCGCTCTCTGCTCTGCTGCTCTCTCTCTCTCTCTCTGCTCTCTCTCTCCTCTCTCTCTCATCTTCTCTCTCTCCTGCTCTCTCGCTCTCATCGCTCTCTCTCTCTCTCTCTCTCTGCTTCGGCCCCGCTCTCTCTCTCTCTCTCTCATCGCTCTCGCTCTCTCCGCTAACTCTACTCTCTCTCTCTCTCCTTCTCTTCTCTCTCGCTCTCCTGCTCTCTCTCTCTCTCTCTGCTCTCTCGTCTCGCTCTCGCTCTCCTCGCTCACTCTGCTCTCTCTCATCTCTCTCTGTCTCTCTCTCTCTCTCTCTCTTCTGCTCTCTCTCCTCTCTCTCTCTCTCTCTCTACTCGGGGAGATGTATTCTAATGGCGCTGTACTGCGTTGTTTGTCGCGGCCCTCGCCGGGATATAGCGACCGTGGCGGATTAAGAACAGCGCTTCAACGCCATAAATGACGACATTGTGAGTGAGACTATTCTCCTCAAAACCTCGCGTTTACATCGGCATTTTTAAGATAAACTTCACGGGCGTACGAGCGAAGAATGGTTAGCAAACAAAGAACGTTTTTTTGGGCCGTAGCGCACTGACATTAATCTCTTTTAGAGGAAACTAAAAAATAAGCCCGAATAGTTGTCGACGAGAAGTCAGCGGTTAATTTGCGAGTTTATCCAATAGGTGTTGCTAAATGATGAAGTGACAGTTACGGGCGTAGAGCAAATGTAATTACCAGCAATAGCGGGTGAACCCTGCGATTAATGATCAGATGCTACAAAAGCAATGCGAGAGAGAGGAGGTAGAAAGCGGGTAAAGAAAGGAGAATATATATGAAATGAAGCAGCAGAGGAGAAAAATAGATAAATAGATAGGATAGCATAGATAGGATTGATAAGATAAATAGATAGATAGATAGATAGTAGATAGATAGATAAGATAGATAGATAGTATAGATAGATAGATAGTAGATCAGTATAGATAGATAGATAGATAGATAGTAGATAGATATAGATAAAATAGATAGATAGATAGATAAAATAGGTTAGATAGATAGAATAGAAGAGGATAGATAGATAGATAGATAGATGATAGATAGATATAGATAGTAGATATACTAGATAGAAGATAGATAAGATA